CTTATAATTATTCTGGGGACAGGTTTGTAAAAGTCTCATATTTAGCTAGGACCGGGGCACTATTTATTTACTAAAAAGATGCAAACTTACAACGATGGGTCAGAGATTTAAGTCAAACAGCTAAAACAGGTCCAACTACATTTACAATACATATTTGGACATTGAAAACATTGGACCCAAAAATGACAACAGAACTCCATTCAGGAAATAAAAAGTTTGTTTTTTGAAGCTAGAGATGGAATCAGGATTAAGGAAATGGCAAGCGTGATAAAGAGAGGCAAGTATAGTAGGAGTTAACTAAGCAATGGATTGTGTATACATTTGTATAAGGACTTTGAGAGATCAGTAGAAAGTAACAATGTGAGAAGATGTAAAATAGAAGATTCAATAGAAGCGTTGGCTTTCATCATTATAGAAATATCAAAAATATTGTGATAAAGTTGAGCAGGGCATATAATGACACTTAAGAAACAAATACTAGTTGCAGATAAACTAATTATAGTTAATACTGTATTTCCTAAAATACTCATAAATTTCCGAAAAGAAAAGAAAAAATAAAATAAAAAAAATTCCAAAAATAATCTAGGACAACCAAAGTAACAAAATTCTAGACTGGATAAACTTTTGCTTTTTACAAGTAGGTGGGGCAAAATGAAACGCTTAAAAAGCAGCAGTTAATTGTTTATTTTGAAGCTTTAAAAATAATAAAAAATGAAAGTATTTCATTATTTAAACATGTTAACATGTTCAGATATTTAACTCTCAAAAAAGTAACATACCCATACAAACTACACGCCCATTCATCCATACACCACAAAAAAATAAAAATAAAAAAACTTTTTGTGTTTTATAAAATAATTTTAAATAAACAAAATTAAGAAATTGTTCTAAAATTTTGGTAGGGCAAAACTAGTATATCAGGGCCTATTTTAGGAAAAAAAATTTGGACGGCAGTACTCCCTTGTTCCAGCGAACTTTAGCGGAAAATCAGCGGTTTTTACACAAAAATAACAATATTCGCCATAAAAAACATAAAAAAAAGGTCCTCAAATTTTAATTTGGGCAGCACCCAAATATGGTCGACGCTGTCGAAAACAGTCTAGAATAGCCCTGTATATATTATTAAAAAGATAACTACTACTAAATTTAAAATTAAACAAAAAATATTATGGATCATATAAACCACACAATAAATATCCTGAAATTATTTGGTAACAATGAGGTGGCTTATGAGCAATATGCCAATGTAGAGCAAATTTAAATATGTCATATGTATCAGGCCTTGTTATGAGATTTTTTTTGTATGACAGAAAAGCGTAACGCAAATTAATGAAACTTTACTCAATAAAGATATTAACGTTGTTAAAAGTTTAATTACGTCAGTTGTGTATTTTAAAGTACCTCATTGTAATTAAATTTAAAACCATATTAAAAATCATCTTTATCTTTATAAAATATCTTAAATTGAACAATATTATGATAAAAAAATTATAAATAAAATTTAAATGCTGTTTAAAAAAAGAAATTTCCTCATTTTAAAATCTTATACTTATTTTAACATTTTTTTTTTTTAAACATTTTATGGTTATTTTTTTTTTTAAAATGAGGGGACACTTGTTTATGGTTGAATTTTATGAAGGAATTTATATGTACTTAGATTACTGCTTTTTTTTCAATTTTTTAATTAAAATATAATTTTTTTTAATTAAAATATAAATTTTTTAATTAAAATATAAATTTTTTAATTAAAATATAAATTTTTTAATTAAAATATAAATATTTTGGTTTCATTTACAGAGAAACGACATGTAATTTCACTATTTCTTACAAAATCCAAAGAAAAATAATAGTATTTTCGATTTTAAGATGTTGTTAGCATTTTGATAAATAAATAATAATATAATTTTAATAAATAATATAATTTTAAAATTTATTATGTTATATTTCTAGAACTAGTACTGGTTTTGTTTATAAAATAAAATAATTATAAGTTATGCTTTTAACGCGTTTACTTATTGATTGTGTTATTTTTATTCGGTTATAAAAGTTTGGTTCTGGAAAGTTTAATTAGCATAAAACTTATTTTTCAAGGGTTTTTTATGATATCAACACACATTTGGCACTTAGAAATCACTTTAACGTTAAAAAATACATAAAAACAGTCAACCTTTTTTTAAACATTTTGTCTTTAACAAAATCTTCGCATACTACTCATAAACTAGTTAATCTTTTCTAATTGATGTTCATTTCATGATCAATCCAAAAAATTAATGATAAAGAAAATCTTTTGTTAAAAAGCAATTTTATTTTTTGTTTAAAACTGAAAGATAAAATAAAGTTATACGTAATACGAACATTTTAAAGTAACTTGAATTAAATTTATTAAATTTTTTATTTTTACTTTAACATAGTTAGGAAATTTTAGCATTTTAAAATTTTGAAAAGAATTTTAATTAAATTTAATAATACTTAATTTAAAAAAATTTATATTTGTTAATATTTAATAATAAATTTAATTTAAGTTTAATAAATTAATTAAAAATAAATATTTTTTTTTGAAACGGAAAATAGAATAAAGTTCATTTATCTATCTGTTTTTTTATCTAATTAAAAAAATGTTTTTACAACAATTAATTACAATTTAACTTTTTCCGCATAACTGTTCTAAAAGATTGTTTAAATAAGCTAATTAAAAAAAGTTTTTGCATAACATAAATTGCTTAACGCTTATGTGAAATTGCCATTACATATGTAAAATTTAAATAGCGTAACGTTTCTAAACAAGGCTTGATGTATCAGCAACTTTTCAAACTCTAAGTTCCTTTTTACTCCCAACAAAAACTACATCTTTTATTTTATATAATTTCTTAACATTGTTGTTTACATTAAACACTTTTGATAACTAAAGTTAAGTTAAAAAAATAAAAATTTAGCTGAATTTATTACTAATATTGCTCTTTTTAATAATGAAAATAATATTTTAGATTAAAAATAAAATCATCAAAATGTAAAAAAATGGTAGTAATAAAGTCAATTATATAAATAACTTGTTGTCCCAATATGCCCACAAATGTCATTTTACTGAAATTAAAACTATTCAATTTTAGCAGTAAAAGAAAACAGAGCCTTTAAAAATTTTTAAAAGAATTTTAATTAAATTTTAATAAAACTTTTTTTAGCAACAGAAGCCAGAGTAATTTGGATGTCTAAAGAATTAACTTGCTTTTCTGAGATTACAGGATGACTAATTAGATTCAAAAGAGTAATTAAAGAAAAAGTACTTTGCAAATAGTGTTGCTTTATACTTGGATGAGGTAGAAGATTAAACTTGTGTATTGATGTATGAAATGGAATATTTAACTTGCTTTTGTTAATGACACTGGTAAAGGTTTTCTTAATGTCTCTAGAACCTAATATAACAGATAAATAAAAAAATTTGGTTAACTGAGAAAAATGGAGCAAGACAACAGCTTTTTGCATTGATTTCTTGCAATAATAAAAAAAATGTTCTCAAGAGAGTTCTTGTGAAAAAGATTTAAAAAAAAAATACAATTAGTAGTAGTTGCACAACAAAGAGTAAAAAAACGAGAAGTTTATTTGGTAGAATGAGGCTTGAATAAATACTGAAGAGAAAAAACAAAAGCTTCCATGCCTGTCTCAGTTTAGGAGATTATGTAAAGAACTGCCACAAAGAAAATCCAAAAAAGAATCCCAGTCAGTTTTAAGGAAGATAGATAGTCTAAAAAAGATTAAAGCATGGTCTGACCACTGTAGAGCAACCGTAGAGCAAGGAGAAACTGAGCACAAGTTAGGGTAATAGATACAAATTAATGAATATACATAAATGATTAAGATTGTCAAAAAAAGGAACCACAAATTTAACTATCTGAGTAAAAGATTGAAAATTTCAAAAGTTTTTAATGCACTAAAGCTTGTAACTTTTTAAATTTTAAAAAGTGGATTTAAAGTGACCAATCATTTATTATTAATATTACATTATCATTAATAAGTGACCAATCATTAATAAGTGACTAATCATTAATAATTTAATAGCATTAAGTGACCAATCATTAATAATTTATTATTAATATTACATTATTATTAAAAATTAGATCAAGAATAATAATGAAAAAAGTATTGAGAAAAAGGGGAATAACAAAACTGAAAGGTGATGAGTGAAGAGATGCAACGTAAAGCACATAAAAGAAAAAAGTAAAAGCACATAAAAGAATAGTCAGAGGATTCAAATTTGATTTCACATGACTCAGGCCAAGCAAGTGAATATTGGAGTTTTTGCAAATCAAGGAATAGTAGCAAGAAATAATATAAAAATATAAAAAAAAAATAAAAAAATAAATATAATAAAAATAGAAATAAAATTAACTTTCACAACAATACTTATTTAATTATTGTCAAAAATAAAACAATCAGAATAACAACAAAAATAAAACAGATTGCTTTTGAAAGAAAAAATCAATCATCTCAAGAAATTTGTTTTAGCAAGTTTAACTCTAAACTTGTTTTTTATTCTAAATTTTATTTTAAATATTTATTTAAGATACAAACACAGCTAGTCTTGGATTAAATTCTTGGATCTAACTTGACACTTAAGGATCCCTTTAAAGAAACAACGTACCTAGTTTGCTTTTTACAAAAAATCTTTGAAACCTCAGAAAGAAAAAAAATCTTTTTTACCATAAATATTATAAAATATTTGTTTTTTACTATATATACTATAGTGGGAGAAAAATCTATAAAAAAAAACTTATATAAAAAAATCACAAAATACCATTTTTACTGTTATTATGCATCATCATCATCATCATCATCATCATCATCATCATCATCATCATCATCATCATCATCATCATCATCATCATCATCATCATCATCATCATCATCATCATCATCATCATTTTTTAACATAAACACTAATAAATTTTTTTTAAATAATTGGTTTCTAAAATTGTATTAATATAAGGTTACAAGAGAAATTTTACCTATATTCATATCATCAAAACAGATAATACATTCTCCAGCATCAACTTTTAGAGTATCCACTAAACATGTAAAATAATAAACATATGATATATATATATATATATATATATATATATATATATATATATATATATATATATATATATATATATATATATATATATATATATATAAATAATATATATATATATATATATATATAAAAATATCAGTGGCGTGGCTAGTGGATCTAAGGCCTCTCCAAAACCTATCTTTAGGGCCCCAATTTCTTAAAAAATTTTCCACTTTGTATTACTAAAAAAAAAAAAAAAAAAAAGCCATAAATTCACTGCCCTCCCCTCCATATTGGGGTGTGTAGGGTAGCCTAGCAACCGCTCTGATATATACAGGCCTTTTGGGAAGGGTTGAGACTTTATTTTTAGTCACTTAGTCTTTTTTTGACAGAAAAAGATTTCACATTTCTGAATTATTTCGAAACCGTTACCTCGACCAAAAAAACCTTTGTTGAACCCCCTTTATTACTAACTTTGTAGGTTTTTCTTTGCTCATTTTCCGAAATTGCTTTATGATCAATGAACCATTTATTCTATATTTTTTTTGGTTTTCAAAATAATCAAATTAGTCAAAATTGTTATGGCAAAATAACTGAGTTGTTAAATAAACCCCCTTGTTAATTTAACAACACAGTTATTATGCCACCCTCATTTATTTGGCACCTCAATTATTATGCCACCCTCATTTATTTGGCACCTCAATTATTATAACACCTTTGTTTATTTGGCACCCCAGCATATGTTGTGGTAGTTTAAAAAAGTTAATCCATAAAAGTTATCCATAAAAACTAAAAAAAATGCAAAATACAAAAGATTATTCCACTACGTAAGTAAAAAAGAAATAATTGACAGAACAATAAAGTTGACAGAACAATAAAGTTGACAGAATTGTAAAAAGCTATGAGTATGGTGAAAGTATGAGTCAGGAAAACATTAGGATAGAAGAGTGTTCTAAAGAATTGGTGCTCGAGAAAAAAAAAATAGATGAAAAAGAACTTTTTGAACACAGTAAAAGAATGCAACTTTACTCAATGAAACTTTTTGAACACAGTAAACTTTTTGAACACAGTAAAAGAATGCAACTTTACTCAATGAAAAGTCATGCATGATTGAATTTTGGTTGATTGACAGGATAAAAAGACTTGCTTGAGCATCAACCATGGTAAAGTTTGTAGAAAAGAGAAAATAATCCAATTTTATGTCAAAAAGAAGTGACCATTACAGAAAAAAAAAGAGAAAAAAAAATTTATGGAAATGGGACAGAGGCTCAAGCCTTGCCGCTATAGAAAATACAATTACATTTACAATGTATTTGTAATTGTATTTAATCATTTTAAGACTGCCTAAAAGTAAAAGGACATCATTAAAAAAAATAAATATGAAAACAGTACTCCTCACAAGCACAAATAAGAAGCTTTTAGTGTTAGAAAATGATCAGGCCATATTCTGAATTAGGATTAAGAATATGGCAAGCACAATTAAGGGAGGCAAATAAAGAGATAAGGTGTTGCAGAAAAAGTGATAAGGTGTTGTAGCAAAAGTAATAAGGTGCATAATAAAGAAAGGCAATAAAAAGTGATAAGGTATTGTAGAAATAAAGTAAATATTTATTCATCAGCAAAAAAAGTCATTTAAGAGATTTTTATTATCAGGAAGATTATTTATATAAATGATTAACATATAAATAATAATAAATATAAATAAACAACAAAACAAAATCTTATGGTAACCAAGAAGTTACCAGAAATGAAGGAGAGTGTCATTCATCAAGAATGATTTCAAAATTGCAGATAGAAAATGGTTCAGAAATTTTGAAAACTTTTCAAGATGCACTTTAGGGTACTAAATTACCCTGAAAATAATTTGATTAAAAATTTAACTCAAGCTATATAATAATGGGAAACTCAATTAAATATGTCTTTTTTTGAAACAAGTTAAAGATTGCTTAGTGCAAGCACTAACTTTATTAGAAAGTCTGAGCATTACGCATGACATAATAGGCCAAGTGAATAAAAATGAGCAATTGCTTTTACTCAGTAATTGGTCAGCTTTACTTGAATAAAAACTTCAGTAATTTTGATTAAGTTTTTATTCTTGTAAAGCTGAGCAATTACTGAGTAAAAGCAAAAGCTCATTTTTATTCATCTGACACAATACACATTTTAAATGTCTAAAACATAACTTGTACCCATTGCTTTTAAACTTTATTAAACTTTAATTAAATATTATTACTAAACCATTATTTTCAATTTTTAAAGCCATGGTTTCCATGGTTTTTTTAAAAAAAAATTATTTGCTTTTTTACTTGTCGCTACAATAATAAGTTTGTTTGCATTTATAAAAAAAAAAAAAAAACTTTTTTTCCAACTGATTATAATAATCTCGACCACTAATGATATTTAATTTATAATTTATATTTTTTAATTTATATTTTTTAATTTATATTTATATGTATAGTAGTAATATTGTAGTATTTTTATGCATACTTTTTGTGTATAGCATTTTTTTGTATAGGATCATTACATTATGTTTAACATGACTGTGTAATATCTAAGCAGACAGTGGTTTTCAAAATAAATAGCTACTTAGATATTTTTTGACAAATATTCAATTATATCTTTAAGTACTTAACAAACCTTTTCAATTTTTTAAGTTAATCAATAGCTTTTCATTGAGAGTTAATCCTAGTTTAATCTATAAATCAATTTTACAAACTAGCTTTCTAATGATATATAACACTTATCTGTCCTATTTACCTTTTCTGAGTAGTTTAAAAGTAAATAAAAGAAACTTATAAAAAAAAGTGTCAAAATTAATTAAAGGTCAGTTAATTTAAACCTTTTAACTTAAATTAATTATATAAAAATCCTGAAAACTCTCTCTCTCTCTCTCTCTCTCTCTCTCTCTCTCTCTCTATATATATATATATATATATATATATATATATATATATATATATATATATATATATATATATATATATATATATATATATATATATATATATAGACGAGCAAAGCAAATCCATTATACATCATGCAAGAAAATCTTTCATTTTTCACGGTGGCATGTCATGGATTAAGAAAAAAGCAGGATTGTTTGATGTTACCATGGGAGCCTATGATGGCGCAGAAGTTTGCGAACTAGAAAGGATTTTTATTTCAGATCAACTTTCGCAGTTTTACAACAAAAATGATTTCAGTCTATATCGGGATGACGGGTTAGCTGTTTTCAAGAACAAAAATGGCCATCAAATGGAACAAATAAAAAAACATGTTGTTCAAGTTTTTAAACATAACAATCTCAACATCTCTATCAATTGCAATCTTAAAATTGTTAACTACCTTGATTTAACTTTTAATGTTACTCAAAAATTCATTCCAACAATACTGCAAGCCTAATAATAAGCTAAGTTATGTACATGCTGATTCTAACCATCCACCTAACATAATAAACAATCTTCCAAAAAATATCGAGCTAAGATTGTCTGCCAACTCATCAAGTGAAGTTATTTTTAATAAGTCAACACATCTTTATGAAGACGCACTAAAGCAATCTGGATACAATTATAAATTGGCATATAACCCAAGCATAACAAATGTTCCAAAAATCGCCACAAACGAAGTATAATCTGGTACAATCCTCCATTTAGTAAAAATGTTACAACCAAAATTGGTCAACGCTTTTTAACCCTAATTGACAAGCATTTTCCTAAAGACCACAACTTACACAAAATATTTAACAGAAACACAATTAAAATAAGCTACTCCTGCATGCCAAACATTAAATCTATCATCAACTCACACAACAAAAATATTTTACATAGTGATGTAAAGTTATCAGAAAAAGCCTGCAATTGCATTAAAAAATCTCTTTGTCCACTGAACAACAATTGCTTGTCTAACAACATCGTTTACCAAGCCACCGTAAGCTCAAATAAACCTCAATACAAAGATAAGGTATACATTGGGATAAGCGAAACCTCTTTTAAGCTACGTTATGCAAACCATCTAAAATCTTTCAACATAAAAAAGTACAAGAACGACACTGACTTATCTAAGGAAGTATGGGATTTAAAAGATAACAATTTTACATCTTCAATCAAATGGAATATAATTAAACGCTGTAAATCATACAATCCTGCGTCAAAAATTTGTAAGCTTTGTTTAAATGAGAAATTTGAAATATTATTTTACAAAGGAGATAATCTGCTAAATAAAAGAGGCGAAGTAGTTTCGAAATGTAGACACAAAAATAAATTTCTACTTTCATTATGTGATAGCAGAGATTAGTTTTCCATTAGGTCTTCTTGTACTAAGAGGTCAGAACTGATTCTACTGTAGTTATTAATTTTTAAACGGTTTTTTATATTTTTGATTTTATACTTCATGGCTGATGATTGCCGATAGGCATGAAACTTTAAGTTCCATTAAAAGTTGTTTTTTCTATATTTAAGTATATATATATATATATATATATATATATATATATATATATATATATCATACATATATATATATATATATATATATATATATATATATATATATATATATATATATATATATATATATAATCAATTTCTGAACAGTATTTCAAGAGATATTCCAACTCCTAGAAATATTCCAATTAGTAAATTCTTGGCACATCTGCAGTAGAAAAACAGACAGAAAATCAGTATAACAAGAAGTCAAATAGTAAATAGTCTGTCTATCAAAAGAAAACAAAAAGTTAAAGTAAAAAAAAAAAATAAAAAATAAAAAAAGAGTTTTTCAAGCAGTACTGAAAAACTATAAGCTTTTAAATGACCTAAAAAATCATGAAGAATCATAACTTAATTTTAGGGATCAAAGCTTATCAAAGGCTAAGGGTAAATCCTAAAAGTAACCTGTCAGCTGAGTTTAGAAATAAATCTGGTTAGTTATAGCACAGCTAGATGCCTAAATAAAAAAGTTATTGATTTTTATGTTGCTGCCAAAAAACGTTATTAAGGGTGACAGATGTAA